CCAAACTTTTTGATTATAAAAATTGATTAGTGGTGAAAATAGTGAAACCATAAATACAAAAAAAAAAAAATCAAATTTGTACATATAAACTATAAGATCACCTGTTTATTCATTGAATTAGGTCCAAATTTTCCATACACCAGTTCACATCGTCCCCTCCATACATCCACCCTACAATAAAAAGAAAAATTAAAATTAGGTAGAAGCAAAAAAAAGTTTGAAAAAAAAGAACAAAAAAACAAGGGTTAGTTATGATCTGAAATTGAATACCATGAGCAAGGTATTTATATTGAATAGGAGGCGGTGCATGATTTAGGGTTTCTAAATTTTTCGACGATAAATACAATAAAAGAAAAGAAAATTTACATATTTTAATAAGCAAATCACTATCATAATAATAAATATTTGTAAAACTGCCATTTATTCATTGTTATCCATGTTTATTTAAAATAATATTTACTTTTTTCCGTAAAAATATGGAATAATAACAACTATTTTAGATTTACTACTATATCTGATACTATCTTATAAAATATATTAAAATTTAAGGGAAAATTCCTTTCTGTTTCAAAAATAAGGCGGAACAATAATATAATTTTTGATTTACAATAGATAGACATGCATGGTATCCATATGCGTCATGTCACGCTGATCCATATTCTTTTCCAAAACTCGATCTAATTGCTATTATGTGCAAAAATCACCGCCGTTCACGTTCATGTTCACGTTAGCACTCCATACCTTAATTCACATGTAAACCTCTCTGCCTATCTCTGACTTCAGCTCTCTCATCTTCGAGTCTCCCCAAGAAAGTTTTGACACCACACCAACATTTCATTCGTCAAAATTAAATCGAGTTTGCACAAGGTTACAACCGATTAATAGGTGGTCTTCTACCTTCTATTTACGATTTTATGCTATGAATATATGTTTTTGTCAGGGTTCAAGTCAATCTCCGGATTAGAGACTTATAATCATCCGACGAACAATACGATGGCGTGATAACCGTTTCTAAATTGGTGGGTTCTCTTTCATTGATCTACATATTATTTTTTTTGTTCGTTTTTTTTTCCAAATATTTAGATTGAAACGACGACGAACACGACGATCATACCAAAAATTTCATCTATTCCGGTACGTTTGATCTTTATTTTAATTAGTTTAACAATTAATAGCCGTTTACGATTAATTTCGGATATCTAAATCTTATTAATTTGAGTAAGGTTAGAATAGTATTCTTTTATGTTTATATTAATATTCCGATTAATAATTTTCGGATATTTGACATTATCATCTTAAATATATCAATATTATAATAAATATTTTCCTTTTCCGTTTTTTTTTTTTGGTATAATTCCTTTTCCGATAAATTATGAATTCCCGCGCCTTGCAAGTGAAATCACAAAAGAAAATATTAAGACATTATAGTTGATTGAGATATAGTATAGTTTATGTATAAGTCATTTTATTAGTTTAACACCGATCATAAATTTAAGACATTCTATTGGTTTAACATTCGACCTTAAATTTAAGGCATTATATAGGTTTAACACTCGACAATATATTTAACATCATTAGGATATTAAAGATAACAAAACAATGTATAGTTTAAGTTTAACAATATTATATTTTCAAATTAAAGTTCCTAACAAAGTTTAAAAATTATTTGTGATCCAAAAGACACAAAAGTGTTATAAAAATAAATATATGAATAACTAATATATGCTGTTAAAAGAAAGAAAACAACACCACGATTAAAATAATAAAAACCAAAACCTATTAAAAAATCTCAATATTCAATTTTTTCGCTTACAACACCAGCCCTTTTCCTTGGAATTTTGAAAACAAACAAATCGGAAAAACACAAAATTAGTATTATATTTTTACAGCAAAACGAAGACACATAAGAAAGAGTATACCTTATGAGAACTAACAATGATCTAAAAATTTCAACTTCTGAAATTTCCAGTTCAACTTAATTTAGGTACAATTAGTTGTAGATATATATATGTCTATATATCCCTCTTTTTAATTTACATGCCTCGTTTTTCCACGATTCTCGCTGTTCGTATCTCACGATCTCTTCTCTCTCTCTATTCTTCTTCTTCCTTTCTCTTTCCTTCTCTTTTGGGTTTACCTTCTTCTTCTCTTTTCTGCTTTGGTCTCTTCATTATCTTCTTCAAAATTTACTTTTCTTCTTTCTTTCCTCTCTGTCCAATTGATCTCGATCACTAAATCGGTGGACCAGCATGCAAGCTACGGTGTCAACGTGATAAATAAACGAATCACCAACTCGGGTGATTGCGGCAGAGATAATCAATGATGGCGGCATGGGTGCATATGTATATCCTCAGATTCACTTTCTCTCTCGAAGTTTTCACGTTCTAGGGTTTGTTTGAGTATCAATTATTGAAGCTGCAAACAATACATAACACATTTATAGGGGTTTGGAACATAGGGTTTTAGGGTTAACATATGACGGTGTATTTTAACTGGCCAAATTGTTTTGTCGACAATAAGCCCACTAAATATAATTATGTATCTTAATATTTTTATATTTTTCGGATTTTTAAGGGCATTTAAGTAATCACACAAAAGCAAGGGCTCAACAAGAGCTGTGAGGCCGACACATAAGCAAAAACACTTCTCAAATATTATTATATATAGATATATATATATATAATATTAATTAAAAAATATTTGTTAGGTTGCTCCAAAGGAAAAAAGGGAAGAATTATGGGGTTGGTTCTTTTTAGCATGAAGCATCTTCAGTGCCTATCGGTCCATTGTAGTGCAACTTAAGCGAGTCAATACAACTAATTGTCAGAGAAGGATCCCGAATTCGCGGCAAGGTTCCGAACTGGAACCGGGAATGGAGTCAGAACCAAAACTTAAACCATAATTAGAACCGAGATAAGAACCAGAACAGGAACCGAACATCCCAAGAGCTTTAGCATTTTATTTCTTCAAATGTATATTAAAACAAATGTTTCGAATTTTATTTATATTTTATTTTAAATAAAATTTATAATTTTCGATTATATATATATATATATATATATATATATATATATATATATATATATTTGTAATTTGTACTATAATCGAAAAATTTATAATCTATTTTCTAATTTTATTCATAATTTTAAATGCCATGACACTCTCAAATTTCTCGCATTATTGCTACGGATGTGCGAGGGAATACCAATAATTTCTCGCAAGTCCATAGCAATACCAAGAGTCGAGATTATTTTCAAGTTTTCTCGAAAATCCGTAGAAGAAGTGCTACATATTTGCAACGATGTCAACAATCCCTTGCAAATGAGTAGTTAAATTACAAAAGATTTGCGAGGCCTTGCTGAAGTTTCCTCGTAAATCCATAGCATATTATCTCAAAAATATCCCTGCAAATACTGTTACGGCTTTGCAAATGAAGGTCTGCGACAGACTATATACTCGCAAATCCTGTGACCGATTTTCTAGTAACATGCGGAGCCGTGGCTACGTGAGGCAAAATGAAACTTTCGCCTACAGCCAGTTTTTTTTTTGAAAAAATTGTAAAAACTTCATATACTTTTGTCTATTGTAATAATTAAAGGCTCACTTCTTGTATTGAAACAACGTGACACTTATAATCTTGGGTATAGTTTATATGGTCTTTTAAATTAAAAACTGAATGAACATAACAAATCAAACCTTCAAATTACAAATTACTATTACTAATATATTCACATTCTAAGATTAATATAGTAATGTCCGATATTTTATACCAAAGAAGGGATAGAAAATTATGTTCTTTTTTTTTATCGTCTGGATTTATTATTTATTGCAAATTATGAGAACTGTTACATAGACGATTCTACAACGGACAATTCCTTCCGACCCTTATTAGATTCACGACAGACGACACCTCCTTCACCTCCTTCTTCATGCTTTTGATGGACATTTCTCTCTCTGCGTAGAATCCTGGCGAACGGCTATAATTGTACATCGCTGGAGATCTCCTGCACACTTACCTCCAATAATCTGCAAATTTATTAATAAATCGCAGTATCTGGGACTCGAACCCCAGACCTCTGGGTGTAGAAGCATTAATTAACCCTTGGTCAACCAATTTTTTCCACAGAAAATTATGTTCTAAACTAAATATTTTTTTTTTATTTTCATTCTTTATTCATGTAGAATTTTAATTGTTATTTTAAAATTTTTTGTTTTATATTAATTGTATTTGTTTTAAATACCGTCTCCGGCCTCCGTATCTCTAGGAACGGCTCTGATAACATGTATGTGAGAGAACAAGAACTGTTTACGTTCCTAGCAATTTGCGAGGGGTCATCGACTGTTGCTGTTTATCGTAAAAGTTGTGAGGGATGAGCGACCAAACAGAGTTTGAGAGGACACATTTTCGAGGGGTGGACTTCCCTCGCAAAGCCTTGGCTATACTCGATTTGCGAGGGAATGGCTAAGGTTTACTCCCTCGCAAATTATCTATTTTCTTGTATCCATAACAATTAAGCAAATTAAATTGTCTATATCATATTGTTTAGTTATTAGTTTATCTAGAAACTTTTGTCATCTTTCCTAAATACACATTTCATTATTAAAAATAGGAAAAATGTCATGATAAGAAGCTAGAGAGGACTAAACAAAACCACCTTAATTATTTTTTGATTCATCTCGATGGTATCAACGTTAGCTCAATGTGTGCTGTCATTACTTTGGCTTCTTTCGATAATCGGGATTGATACACTGAATCAAATCTTTTTTTATTGTAAGGGTAGTGATTTTCTGTTAGCGATTGAATTAAACAATGACTAACGAGCCCACTAGTTGTACTAATATAGATTTTTACTAATCGAGATTTGCGTTTGAACTAAACAAAGAGTAACGACCTCCACTAGTTGTACTAATATAGATTTGTTAATTTATATTATAATCTAACAAGTAGCTGTAACAAGAGTATCATTGATGTAATTAGAGTATATAGAAGAACAACTACATTGATCCATTCTTACACGAAACCAAAGTGCTATTACCCAAACATCAACTTGCATTCTCTCCACCTCCGATCCGCTAAACGCAACAGCCATGAGTTTGAGGTTAGAAAGACACAAGCATTATGTAGATCTCGTCAAACAACGTGATGGTTTCGAATGCGATGTTTGCGATCGATCGTATGGTGATGGCTTATGTTGCTCTGAATGTAACTTTACAATTCACAGGAAATGCGCGTTTGTGTTCATGTTAAGAGATTTATACGAACACCCTTCTCATGTTGGACATCGTCTTAAGCTTCTCACAACCGGAGCGCCTAACCACACCGACCCGAAATGCCACCTCTGCGGTAAAAATACCAAGCGCCTTCTGTACCATTGCTCCGTTTGCAAACTCAATTTGGATTTTAGTTGCATCTTTGATTACTTTAGTAGCCAAGCACATCTGATATATTCGTGGCACCACCATCCTCTACTCTTTTTTGGTTTTCGTGTTCAGTTGCAGTGCGACGTTTGTCATATGTCTCACAGAAATGGTTACTTTTGCTCACGTTGCCAGTTGGTGGTTCATAAGGAATGCGTCTCAAAAATTGAATCAGCAGAGATCACTCACCCTTTTCATGCCAGACACCCTCTTAAGCTACTCACAGATGGAGCTCCTGATTACACAGACCCAGAATGTCATATATGTGGAAAAGAAACAGCAAACTTACTTTATCATTGTGATAAGTGTAAGTTCAACCTGGATATTGATTGTGCGATTGGTAACCCCCAACGACTTTCTCTTTCAAAGCTAAAGGTCCATGAGCATACACTCACACTCATGCCAAAATTGATGTTCTTTGTTTGTGATGCTTGTGGGAAGAAAGGCGACCATGCTCCTTATACCTGCGTTCAATGTGATTTCATGTTCTTCCATCAAAAATGTGCTTATTTGCCACTTGTCATTAATGTCAATCACCATGAGCACCGCGTTTCATTCAAGTATCCTCTTGGTCCTGGAGAATGGATATGTGGAGTTTGTTGGGAAGAGATAAATTGGTCATATGGGGCTTATTCTTGTTCATCTTGTCCTAACTACGCTATTCATTCAAGATGTGCAACAAGGAAAGACGTGTGGGATGGGAAAGAGCTCGATGGAGTACCTGAAGTTATTGAAGATGTCAAGCCGTTTAAGATGAATGATGACAACACAATCACTCATTTCACTCATGAACATAACATGAGCCTCAACAAAGTAACTCAAGAAAGAAGCATCTGTGAAGCATGTGTTCTTCCCATCGACTCTTACACATCCTACAAATGTTCGAAATCAGATTGCTGTTTTATCCTCCATGAAACTTGTGCTAATCTTCCTAAGAAGAGACGACACTTTTTGAGCCCACAACCCCTCACTCTTCGCCCCCAAAGCCAACACAAGAAAGAAACTATTTGTCGAGCTTGTGATCAAGTTTTTTGCCAAGGATTCGTCTACTCTACATATCAGAAACAGAATTTTGACTTATTGTGCAGTTCGATTACTGTGCCTTTTAAACATGGAAGTCATCATCATCATTTGCTCTACGTCAAACTAGAGGTTGGTCACATGAAGACTTGCCAAAACTGCGGTATTGACCAAAAAGAAGTCGTCCTAGGTTGTATCAAATGCAACTACTTTTTGGATTTTCGTTGTGCCACTCTACCATATACGGTAAGACTTCCCAGGTACGATGATCATCCACTCACTCTTTGTTATGGTGAAAACGCAAGCGGAAAATATTGGTGTGATATTTGCGAAAGAGAAACAAATTCAAAGACTTGGTTCTACACTTGTAAAGATTGCGGGGTCACTTTACATGTCTTTTGTGTAGTTGGGGATATTAGATATGCTAAACCAGGAGGAAGCATCAACAACAATCTTGAGTTGGTGCCTAACAATAGATCTTCAAGACCACTTTGCCGCAACTGTCATTGCCATTGTCCAGCTCCCTTCATTCTTAAGGATTCTGTCGAAGACAATTTTTGTTCTTACTATTGTTTCAGCCGTTGCAAACCCTGGATGTCCCTCATGAAGAAGGAAAAAGGCATATGCCCTCCATGGACCAAAAATTGAATCAAGCAAGACAAGATTCTCAAATCAAAAATGTATAAAGCATTTGATTCCTGTCATTTGTTTCTTTTATTTAATTATGTTATTTGTTTCAGTTGTGAAGAAGAGGAGAATTGGTCTTTATGAACCATATCCTCCACTATACATGTTTCTCTTGTTGGTAAGAGTTACAATTCCATCCTTTTGCTTCTTGTTTGTCATTTAATGATATGAATGTTTCTAAAGATTCAAACTTTGAACATGACTAAAACTTACATATCATGCAAAACCAAAAGCTTTTGCATAGAGAGTGAAAAGAGAAGTAAAATTGATAGATTAATTTTCTGGGTTTGAACAGAATAATTAGCTGTTGCACTGGGATAAATACGAATAGTCTTCGGGTATCAATGGATCACAGAGAAACAATCATAGCTCGGAGTTCTTTATTTTTGAATATCAATGGATCTCGAGGAACGTATGAATAATCAAAAACAAACGAATAATACAAGAAAACTATTTAGGATAAAATCTTAAAATCCTAAATATTCTTAAAAAACTTTAATTAATTAATCAAATAAATTATAATACTAAATAATATTTAAAATATTTCTAAATATTTTGCTGCATCATTAGCTCACAACATCTCTTTGAACTTACTGATCCTAGCAAACAGAGAAAGTAAAGAGCTTTTTCTCTCCCGTCACTCAAAAATTGAATTCTTTATTTCCATCATCAAAAGTAGGCTTGGACAAAATAGCCGAACCGGAACCGAAGCAAAAAGAATTGAACCGGAATCGAACCGAAATTTTAAGATACTCAAATCGATCATAAATTTGAAAACCGAAAGAACCGAAACCGGAACCGAACCGAACCGAAATATTTCAGGTACCCGAAAATACCCGAAATATGAGTTTATATCTAAAAATATTAGTTATTTTTTTATCGAATAACCCGAAATACCAACAAATATTTGGAAAATATATAAAAAATACTTATAATATCTAACAAATACTCGAAAATATCCGAAAATACTCAATAATATCCAAAATACCTAAAAATATCCATATAGTTGAAATTTATAAATATTGTTTTTGAGTTTTTGTATTTGTTTACTTAAATATTGTATATAAAAAATTTACCTTGCGGTACATTGCGGATCGAATTTTTAAAACTAAAAACTTTAAATTTTCAGTTATATTTGTTATGTTAATATTGTTTGGTTTTGTTTAGTGTTTAAGATAATATAATTATATTTTTATTTTTAATTCTAAGATTTCACTTGTGGTACACCGTCCCGTATTAATATCTACCCAAATCCGTCCCACCATATAACCCCGTCCCGTGAAATTAAACAGCAATTTGTTATTTTTTTTTGTTAACCACACATTAATTAAAAAGTAACTCCTTGATTGGTTATCCAATGTTAATTTCTTTTTAATAATAGTTTTATTTAAAAGACATAGAATTCGAGTCAATTTAAAATTTTTATTTAAATGCTTCCCATAATATATATCTACTAGATTTTAACCCGCGGTACACCACAAAACGATTTGTTTATAAAATTAGTAATTTTTAAAATTTAATGGTTATATATTATATATAAAAATTTGCAAATTGTATCATTTTATAAAACATTTATATTTTATAGTTTACAATTGTTATTAAGTAACGGTATACTACAAACAATTTTTGTTTTATACAATTTTACTTTAATCAGGATCATTTGATATGTCAAATATTGGTATTGTTTAAAAAGTAATAAAATGAAGATTTAACCCGTATTGAAGCAGCGGGTTAATGATGTTTTAAATTTTTTTGATTCAAACTCCTCCCGTCATATAACTCCGTCCTGCAATATAACCTCGTCCTACAATATAATCTCGTCCTGCAATATAACCGTCCCATGTTATTTTAACTCTTTATATATGTTCAAATGTTTCTTAACAAGATTTTAACCCGCGGTACACCGCGGGACTATATTTTAAACAAAAGTTTGAAATTTATTTTTTTGAAGATTATCTATAGATATACCTATTACTTTGTTTGATTAAATGTACTTATATATGTATATATTATATATATTATCCCGTAGTACACCTCGGATCGATTTTTTATAACTAAAATTTTTAAATTTTAAGTTGTATTTGTTTTGTTAACATTATTTATTTTATTTAGTGTTTAAGATTATATAATTGTATTAGATTGTTAATTCTAGGATTTCACCCGTAGTATACCGTCCCGTATTAATATCGACTCAAACCCGTCCCACCATATAACCCCGTCCCGTGAAATTAAACATCATTTTGTTATATTTCTTTTTAATAATATTTTCATTTAAAAAACATATACAATTCGAGTCGATTTATAAGTTTGCTTTAAAAAACATATATTTGTAATGTTTTAATTATAATAAAGTAATAATATACAAATGTTGCTTACTACAGTTATAAACAAAACCAACTAAAATCTAAGTTTAGTGTAGATTATGAATTATAGTTACGACCAAAAAAAAAATTAATCAAATACAATTAGTGTGAATTAAGAAAACAAACAGAAATATAACAAAGAAATGAAAACTAAGCCTTCTCTATATTTGTTTTTATTCATCTTATTCACGTGTTATGAACATATATATTATACAAACTAGATCATTTTTATAATTATTAAAGCATCAAACATAAACGTAAAATAAAAAACAATGACTCAAAACAGTAAAAGCAAACCTCATATCCAATAACCAAATGAAAACCATTTAAAAGAACACACTAAATTACATACTCAAAATTTGATTACATTGATACTATAAAGTATTGACAATGCTCTTTAAGACTTTAACAAAATATATATATTGATAACGCTTTGATAGCTTTAGTTTACGTGTTGTGAGGATTATCGAATTACTCTAAATTTTGTAGTATTTATAGAGTCTTCGGGTCTAACTATAGGGTTTGTTCTGGAGCCGAAAAAATATCTTTTAAAATTTTAGGATTTGTTATAGAAAATATAATATTTGTAAAATTTAGGCTATTTAATAGGATTTTAAATGTTCAAATACGATTTGGTATTTATGCTTGAAAACTATCCATATTCTTGATTACATTTATTGTTGAAATAATCTAATTTATATTTATTTCTTAAACTGAAGAATCTTCCAATTCAATAATATGCAGATTTGTGTGAGTACTTCAAGATATGGAAATATTATCATTTTGCTGTTAATAGTCATTAATTCGGATTATTAACCCATTAATTCGATTTGAAACATGAAAAAGTTAAGATGCTATGAAAATCAATTGATTCGAATATTTCATCATAAATTCGATTTTATATTGTAAATAAGAATTATTTAAAGAATTCTTTGAATTATGTTAGCATTAAATAGATAATTGTATTATTCACCAAAAAAAATAGATAATTGTATTTGTTATCTTTCTATATAGAAATAACTCCTAGAATATTGAAAATATTATCTATAAACAATCTATATATACATTTTTGGTGAAGATTTGGCCTCAAAAATCCTTTTACAATTTCAATATTGTACATTTAGTCCCTACAAATAAAATCTGACAAAATATTTGTCTTAATGAAATTTACAAATCAATTAATAAACTCACAAAACATTCCTAATTTTCATTTAACGAGATTTGAGTTTAAGAGATATGGAAATCAAATATATATGTTTAAGGATTACTATCAACCTATAGTGTATATATCAAACATTTAATTAATCTCGGGATTTACCTGTTAAATATAAACTACTAACAACAGTTAATCCTAATCAAATCTTAATTACCATTGCTTGATAATGCTGTGATTTTACGTATTTACCATAACTACTCGATATCTAATAAAATAAATATTCGAAATTTAAATTCATATCTCATATATTAAGAAACTACCAAATAAACAAATAGTCAACAAAATATTACGAATAAAAATAAGCTATATTCGATCAATTGCTAATTACCATTTTAAAGATATTACAAACTTTCCTTACCTATATTCGATCAATTGCTAATTACCATTTTAAAGATATGTGATTTGATTCCCTTACCTGAAAAATAATTGGTTACGATTTTATACATAAAAACGATTTTATAGTAACAAACAAAACTCATAAATAACAAAATCGGTCCTCAAATATTTACCTAAAATATCGACATTAATTTTAGATTTGTTTTATTTAAGTAAAGATTTGGAAATGAATTTCAGTCCTTAAATATTTGCCTAAATTATCGACGCAATATTTTCAAAAATCTCAACAATTATAGCTACAATCCCGAATTTAAAGAAAAATAGAAACTAATTACAACAATCCATCTAACAAATGACATATTCCTTACATCTTATTTCGTTTACAATTATACTTTATACCATGTATAAAGAATATGCCTAATATAATTTATGGAGTAAATTATAATAGTTAGCATTAATTTCAAATTTTGATATTTTCGAGATTTTGAGCTTGATCACCAAGATGTTCTTGCTTTACAATCAAACCTAACCATAAACATCTACAGTCTCCTATAAATAAGATTTTCTCACTTGATTGATCGTGAATCACCTTCCCAATCTTTATCTTCCTTTTCATTTGATTGTGATTTTTTTATTCAATCATATAAACTTTGCTCGTGAATGTTATATGATTGTAAGAGTTTACTCCACTTCGTGGAAGCTACGATGTCATATTGGTTCAATTGTGGATTGGACATCTTTACTTCTAATTATCTATGTTCCTTGCAATGACAAAATCTAATCTTTTTTTCTCTTATGCTTTGCAGATTTTTACCAACCACTTGAAAAAGATGACCTTGAGAACAGAGTCTTACAATCGACGTAATGCTATCCTCTGAATTGCCCGTAAGTTTTTTTGCATGCAATGAATGTTATGTTGGAGTGGCAGGTCTATATGAAATTTTTTTATAGGGGCACACTGTTTTCAGTGTTTTCTTTATAACCAAGTTTTCATTTTTCTGTTTGTGTCAGGTTGTATGTAAAATTGAATGGGAGTTTCACAAACTTGAGGTGTGCGTTTGGATTTTCGGTAACCACAAAACTTAAAATCACTTCTTCATTTAGTTCAAGAGAGTTCTATTAGTAAGAGTATTCGACAGCAATGAAACCTAAGCGAGATGTAAAAATGTAACATGACTGTGAATCTGTGATAATATATGTAAGCTAAATTTCTGTGAAACTATTTGCACGTACAGTATTATTCTTGCAGCCAAAAGAAGCTCGAATGAAAGCAGTAGAGGTATTCTTCGCTGTCTCTCAGCTTTGCGACGCTTCCGCTTTGCCTGGCTCAATTTTCTATTGGTCTTGGCGTAAGATTTATCCAGCTCATTCTCTGACTTAAATCACTTTTATGTTTCTATGGATTATAATATGTTGATTGTAGCATTAAGTTGAAGTAAGGAGCTTCCCAGAGTGAGTCAATAAAGGCTCTTGCATCAAACAATGAAGGAACTTACATAGTTAGTAGTGGATCCTTTGGAGATATTTATAATAAGGTGGTAAAGTTCATATAATTAATTTAACTTATGGTAAATAAGTATATATTTGTTTCATGGCTAAATTTGTTTTATTGTTGAAATTAGATTACAATTACAATTGGGAAGTTGCTTAAGTAGCCTTTTGTCATGAGTAGCATTATAGAAAAGTGGAGGTACAATCTCATCTTCGGAAACCTAATATACGTTGACGTTATGGTTATTACTATGATCAAGTAAGTTAAGTGTTTCTCCTTTTTATTGACGGATATAATTATCAAATCTCTTGACCTTAACACACTTCATTTAATTTGTTTCTAAATAGAGTTTTGGATATTTTAACAAATGGACGAGGAAAGACAGAAAAAGGAGAAGAGAAGGAAGTTCTTGAGTGGCCTTTCACTTCAGAGACTCAAGAAGACAAGAACGATTCGAGAAACCATTTTGGTAGCCTCACGGGTAAACATGAATAAAAAGAAGCACGGTACACCGTTTAAGCGATTTGCAATGGATGAAAGTGATGGAGAATGAAGAAGAAGATGCTTCAAAATTCTAAGAAACGAAAGAGAAGGGACACAAAGACACCAACAAGTAATGGGTCAAAGGCAGAGGCAAAGACGAAGAGTCGAGTGGAAGCAAAAAGGAAAAATAAGAAGAAGAGGAAGAGACAAAGGAGGAGAGTGGGAAAGAGAGTGAAGAAGAAAATGAGAAGCCATTACATAGTTGGAAAACTTATAAGAATAAACGGTCCAGATACTCTTTTATGACTTCTTCACCTAACTCTAGAGGTAAAGGTAGTTCAAACGGAAGTAAACGAAACTGAGAATAAGGTTTCTTCTACAAGTATTAGGCATTTAAGTTGGTCTACAAATTTTAAGCATTAAGCCATTTCTCATAAATATGTGTCTGTTTTTGTTTTTAATTTAGACCTTGGCAAATTTATAGATTTTTTTAGAGTTTAGAGCTTAAAACGATGAGAGGGGGCAAATGACAAAGGTGTACAAATATAAGGACACATATATACAATATCTTATAATAATAATGCAAAACAAAATAATCACTTTCATCACTTAAATTTATTCGACAAATAAATACAAAGCCAAATAGTTTTTCATTTACATACATAAAATTAATTATTTAATTTAAAGAACATTATATTGAAATACAAAAACATATAATATTCAAATTTAAATCCGCTATACATCGCTACTTAAAGAAATGTAAGTTTTTGTATCTATATTTTAAAAATTGAATACTAAAAATATATAAATCGTAAACTATATAATATACAGACTTATATATATATATATATATATGAATTTTAAAAATACAAAGTAATCGTTTATATTAATATATAATCTTTAAATTTTTTACATTTCAATTTGTTTTAAAAAGTATATAGTCCCGCGGTGTACCGCGGGTCAATCCCTAGTTGAGAGTATAATTAGTTTCTATTTGCTAGGATATTCTGGATTTTATTTTGTAAATAAGAGTATAATATATTTACTTTAAAAAATTTACATTACTTAATTTTTGAGGGAATATTAGTGGATTGATTGGAGGGAATAAATCTTTTGAATTAAATGTGGTGAAATATAAGAAAGTAAAGAGATATCGTCATATTAATTAGGCTAAGAAAACGTGTTAATGAGTTGGTTTTTTTTATTTCCTAAATCTGTTTGTTGATATTGTCTAACTAATTAATGTCGATTTTTTAAAAATGTTTTATTAGGAAATTTCGGAGATATCCAACTGGCAATAAACTGGGTCAATCGATGGAAAAAAATCCGACTCACTAGTGGCATAACTTGTAAATACATCTCAACTCCAGGATTTATTTACTAAATGTACTCCAAAAATGTATATATAGATATTATAAACTTTTTATTGATTTTAAATATGTGAATTATAATATTTAAAACTTATTAAAAACTCGTTCCGTTATATAACCTCGTCTAGCAATATAACCCGTTTCGTGTTATTGTAACTCTTTATATATGTTCAAATGTTCATAATATTATAAACTTTTTATTGATTTTAAATATATGAATTTTATTATTTAAAACTTTTTAAAAGTTTAAAATTTATTATTTCCGGTAAAATTAAGCAGTTAAACTAAAAAACGGAATGAAACGGTATATAATTTTAAATTTAGATGCTTATTAAGTTGAGCTTCTTGTTCATTCGGATTTGGATTCATTTTGATCTTATTTATATTATGATTCTGAATCTATATCTAAATACTTCAGCCAATATGGGACGTTGAACACACACTTTTTTCCTCAATTGGTAATATATATCCGTTTTGAAAATTTCGAATTTCAATATATGCAGAAATTTTTTTATTTTGAGATTTAACTTTATGTATTATATGATGATTCAAAATAGTTAATAAATATTCAAACAAAGGTGATAGGAGAATTATATTTTTAAATCTTAACGAAATCTTCTTAATATCTATATTTTTAAATATGGAATATCCGATTCATAATTTCTTATATGTTTTGATTCAATCCAAAAAGATATAAAATATCCGGTGTAAGATTCATGAAGGAAATTTCTTATCGGATCGGATACCAAATTTGTCGGATATCAATTTAACCCACCGGCTAACAAATGTACTTCAAAAATACTAGTATATATATATATATATATATATATATATATATATATATTTAATTGTTATCGAGTTCAAATATTATAAAAAAATTTTATAGAACTTAAATATTATAAATACTCTAAACATTTTATAAAGTTTAAATATTTATAATGTTTAAACTTCTTATAAATTCTTAGACAGTTCAAATATTTATATTTGAAACTTCATAAAAGTTTTCGTTTTATAAATATTTAACGTTTTATAAAGTTTAATTTTATAAAATGTTTAAATAATTATAATACTTAGCTTTTAATAAAATTTAAATATTTATAATATTTTGAAACTTTTTAAAAGTTTCAATTTTTTAAAATAAATAACCGGAGTAAACCGAATAATAATTTTGATTTTGGACGCCTGATAACCAAGTTTCATACTCATTTGTATTCAGAATCATTTTGGTCCTTTTTATAGTATGACTTTGAACCATTGCCCAATTTTTTAAGCAATGTGGGACATTGTACACATATTTTTCTTCATCGAGTGAGTAATATATGTCCGTTTTAAAATTTTAAATCACATTATATGCAAAATTGTTTTATTATTTTATTAATTATATGTATTTTATAAATATTCAAAATGAATTAAATATAAGATCATATAAAAAGGAAAAAATAATTATATATCAATGTTTCAATTACGTTGAGATGTTTTAGGAAATTAGAAATTAATCAAATTTAGAAACAAAATCAAAATTTTACCATATTTGGAAGCCACGGTTTCTAAAAAATATTTTCGAAAATAATTTGTAATATTAATTGATAGAAAACATTTACGATAATGGCAGTCTCTTGTAAATAAGTGTCAATTCTAAAATTTATTTCATATTTATACTTGGAAAATGTATATATAGATTTTTATTTCGAAAATGTATATATAGATGTTTTCCAGTTAATAGTATAGATTTTTCCATCCCTAAGATTTTTATCGTGATCATGGCCACACTTTTATATTAAGTTGGTAGATGTTTTTGTTTTTATACAACTATGATACCACCATTTAAAAATGAAGAGTGAAGAGGTTTAGTGACTTTTCAATTTTCTCCACTCGAGCTAAAAACCAGATCAAGTATATGATCAATTTTTACTTTCTCTTAATTGGACTTTAGGTTTTCGTATCATATTGTTCCAAAATAAGATTTTTATCAAACCCAAGTAAATAAGCATATGTTTTAATTTCATAAGTCTACCAAGCACCAAACGAGGATGTGAAAGCCAGAAGTTTTAGGTGAAATTTGTGGTTTCCATCGACATAAAGATAATTTTTGATCTCGAAGAAGAACCAATAAATAGGATTGAAATTGAATTTGTATAAACTTAGCTTTAGAGGTTTTGATTTCTATTTTTTTTATTGTTTTTTTTTTTCTTCAAAATTGTCTCTCTTTAGGGCTCTTATCTCCCAAATTTCATTAGTTTTCACCGGCTTAGTATTTAGGGATATATTTTTCTTCTTCTCACGTATATAATTTCATTCATTTTTAATATAATACAGATGACATAAAAATGTTTTAAAATTTTAAAACTAAATTTATTTAATTAGTTAATTACTTAAAAACAGAATTTGAAATTTTTATTGTAGTAATATATTTAGTGGTTTTATTATATGTATTTTGTTAGATTTTAACAAATCAAAAAGTTTCGCAAACACACTTGTTCCAGCCAATATATCAATCATAAAATTTCTTCATTAGCATTCCGACTTGCATCTAAGCATTGGAAAAATATATGGATCCAAAAAATTGTACCAAAATGACTCGAACATAGAAGTATCGAAACCAGAACCAGCGTGAATACGCAGATGGGTCCTAGGCCTCTGAACCAAAAGAAGTAAAGAACCGATAAAAACCGGATTCTCAATGGGTACTAGAAAGTATCCAAAATACAAATATATACTTAAAATATTAGTTATAGTTATACTTATATTAACCCATATACCCAAAACTACAATTATAAATCTAAATATATTATATTTTTGGGTAATTATGTTTTAGTTTTTTTTTTTTCGGTGTATTTTGAATACTTTAGATAAATTTGCATACATGTTGTTAAAAAGTAACCAACCCGAACTTTACTGGATAAGGATTTGCATACATACATTTGGTCATTTGGATACTCAGAGAGGTTGCATACGGATAAAAAGTAACCTACCGACATGCACTATGTTTAAACCGATCGAGCCCTAAATGAATGACATGTATTGTGGTCAATAATGAGTTAGTGAGAGAGACACAGTCAACGGTTCAACAAAACGGACCTTCTTCATCTTCTTCCCCAAACTATTACTCAAATCTCAAAAAAAAGGGACGATCTTTCGAAAAGAGGTAACCTTCTCTCTATCTCCCCCTTTCAATTTCTTCTCATAGGGTTCTCTTTTTCCGCGTTAGGGATCCAATTCCGTTTCTGGGTTTTTGAATTCCGACTTGGATTCATCTGATTTCGATGAAAATTCTCCATCTTTGGGCTTCATTGATTCTGGGATTTCGAAAAGATATGATTTTTGGTTGTTGCAGATAATGGTTAAAGCAGTGGTTGGTGAAGATACTAGACTTACTTCTGTTGAAGATCGTCTCTCTCACTCAGCTATTCCTGCTGAGGTAATACTTATTATTTCATGTTATTGTTAATGCATGTTGTCTCTGTTTTGAGATTGTGATGTGATTTTGCATTTTTTGTGCATAGGTGGGTCTTGTGATAGGAAAGCTTAGCTCTGTTCTGGATCGTGGATTTGTGTTTGATTTGATTCCCACACCGAGTAACGATGATGGAGAACCAGCTTGCTCGGTTTTGGAGACCAAAGATGTTAAAAGGAAGCCATCTAAGTCATCTGAGTCGTCTTCTTTATCGATTGATTCCGATTGGGTTGCAGAACATGCCCGGCAGGTTTGTCGATTAGTCGATACTATTGTTTTGCTGTTTGTGATGAATGTGTATGGTTAAATGATGATTGGCATTGTAATGGATGATCAGGTATCGAGAATGTTGTTGGGTGGGATGAAGGTTGTTGGTATCTATGTATGGGCTAGTGACACTTCTTTTAAGAATTCTACTATGATTCTCTGCCAGGTAACTTTGTGGGAGATTAGTTTTGCTCCTGTAGTTTTAATTGAGATCATTCTGATAAGTGACTTCTTTCGATAATGAGTAATCTTTTGGATGCATTTGAAACTCTCCTACATGTGGATGGATCTAAGTTACGGTAACCTTTATCAGGCTATAAAGGCAGTTTCAGATGCAATACGACATTTGGACCCTAGCTTGAATGAAGCTCTTCTTATTCACATATGTTACAGTCCGAGGAGGTATTCCACCTTTCAAGGATTTAGTTTCGAGAAGTTTTGGTGAACTATTACGTACTTAAAGTAAATATGACGAAATGTTTGTAGATGGAATTGCCGAACTTGTTTGTTGAGCTCAAGTATTACATCAAGTAGTCTTCGACCTTGTGACTTTAAGCTGGGAAAGGTATTAAGTTCTCTACAGAGGTTTAGGTGCAGCTACAGATTTAATTTCAGGTATGTCATTGCATTTAGATTTAGATTTTAGATTTAGATTCAACTTTAACCTATATTCATGTTTAGAAATTAGTACACAAGAAAAAAAAAAGTTGATTTAATCAGCAGTTAGGCGTGTTCTTATGAGTCTTCTGAATTGCAGTATCTATGAATATACATATATAAATACCGGAACTCTTCTTCTTTTTTTCTGTATTTATTCCTGACCTCATTGTTTTAATTTTTTTCTTCACTTTTACACACGTAGATTACCAATTTACGGTGAGGGTGGGTCAAGTACACAAACATTTACTGATACCCTCCGTAAAGAACTTGCAATTCATGCAAAAGAGCTGAATACTGCAAATGCAATGATTGATGGAGACTTGGTGAGGAGACGGTAATCCCTATGCTTTTTTAATATGTTTCTGTGTTAATTGTTAAATATTACTCGATGTTGAATTCTTGAATCGTTTTGAAGCACATAAATCTTGAGGGTTCGAGTGATTTAATCGAAACTATCATGCAGTTAAGTTATCCTTGTGAATGGTGTCTGCCAATAACATAGCTTCTTTTCATACATCAACCATTGCTATAGTCTGTTTGAATATAGTTTCTTTGTAGGCATTGCTGTGTCGCTAAAATTATGTAGACTACATAAGGGATGGTATATTGGCTGGAAATAACCGTCTCTTGTTTGTAATTTCTTCTTAACTTTTGTTGGACTGAAGGTGCATAACGATGAGCCTTGTAACTCGGATGGCGAACATGAAATCGAATTGTTATTTCCATTCATGAAAGATAGTCGGGCTGAGGGTATGTTTTTCTCACTCTAATTTAGCCACACTGATTTGGTTTGCTATTGGACATGTCTTCGGATGATTGTATCTAATATTACGGTGTAATGTTGAGCAGCATCAACTGCAAAGAATGTTACTGGAATTTTACTCTTCAGTGGTTCTGTATTCTCTTATGCCTACTTGAACGTGAAAGAACCAGTTTCACAAGCTATTGCTGATATTAAGGTACTGCAACAATGTCTCTTCCCGGTTTCTTATGTTCTTATTTACTTAAATATGAGCTCGTGCCAGTTATATTGGACTTATTGAATTAAATTTTTTTGTTGATGGTGGTATATTTCTTTTCAGGCTGACATAATTAGGAGTCTGCAAAGTAGATTGGACATTATCTGTGATGAGTCCGAGCAGGATCTCAATCCAACTGATGTTGGAGACAATGGTGATGCAGATGAGATGTCGAAAATTCCCATTTCCAAACTCATCCTGAATTCATCTACGTGAGTCAGTTGCTAAACATAACAGTTTCTGAATGTCTGTTCATCCTTAATGTTTATTGATAAACTCGAAATACTTAACGTCTCAATGTTTGTAAACAGAAAAGCATGTCATCTCCGTCTTCCCAGGAGAGTTCTTGTTCCGTGGCTGGCGGGTATGTACATCTGCGATTATCTACAGCCATTCGAATCACTCGAGGTATATAAGCAACCTGCAATGTCTCAAATTCATTACGCTTTGTGAACTCTTCTTCTAAATTTTAATACGTGTTTTGTTTTCTGAAAAGGTGGTAAAAGAACGGTGTACTGAGTTAATGTCCATGGAACATTCTTCTATCGACGCATCAAAGATATCAGAAGTGGAAACCGAAACATCTTTATTGATCGCGGAATCAATGTGGGACGTGATATCTCCTGCGACTTCTGCCTCCAGCTTTTGCCTAGGAGGGAATGTGGAAAGGACAAGGGGTGAAGATGAAAGCAAGAGAACGAGTAACACAAGTACTGCATCCAATGTCCCGATGTTGGTCGGGATTTTCGTGCTTTTACTCTCGATTGTATTAGGATTCATGCTTTACCAGAGCGATTAGCAAATATTAACAGTCTCTGTTTTGACCAAACCACAAATGAACTTATTTTTGTTTCCCGCATTAGAGTTATAGAGAGAGAGACCTTTCTTCTTATTGGAGAAACTATACAAAACCTTACCTCTTTTTTCGAGGATACCTTGAATCAATTTTAGTATGCACTTTTTTGGAGCTTACAATTGAGCTTCAATCTCAAGGATCTCTTATGCAATATTGTTGATATGATTAGATGAATAATATAAATATTTACAATGGAACTTCAATAACAAATGGGGATGTAGCTCAGATGGTAGAGCGCTCGCTTAGCATGCGAGAGGTACGGGGATCGATACCCCGCATCTCCACTTTTGTTTTTCTTCTTTTTATGTTTTTATAAACCCTTCATTGTTTTGATAATTACATAACGATATATATATTTCCTTTACGCAAGCTAGTAGAAGTCTATTAAACACATACAATTCATAAATCAATTAAACCAATATTGCTCCCTCTTCTTTACAAATCCAAATGTGCTTGTCAAAATGGCCTATTCGCCTAAAGATTGGCCGACTTATCGCGATGGAGTTATTTGTGCTCAAAGTTTTGAAGGGAGAATTTCCGAATTTGAACTGTTTATATTAGTAGGAACACTAATGTTAAAACTTATTGTCTTTCTCCCTAACAAAAAAAAAACTTATTTTCTTGCTCGTAAAACTTGAAATAAAAATTAATAATAAAATGTATATTTGTTACAAAAAGAAAATTAATGACTGTCCTAACATCTTATTTAGTGTAAGAGATGGTCTTTTAGTTGGTAAGTTTCCACTTCCACTAGAAATATTCATATTATCGTTATTCAACAACACATATTCAAGATGTTAGTTAGATTTGTCTTATATTAAAAACTATAAACTAAATACCTTATACATGTAACCATCGGTCCTTGTACGATCGCCGCATATCTCCGACTTCTCTCCGCCGTCCACCGGTGACTCTACGTTCACTCTTAAAATCTTTTCACCTTGTTTTAATTTTTCTTAAATTAGATTATAATAAAACAAAACAAAAGAGAGGATTAGATTCATTGGTCCGAGTCAAGAGTCAAGAACACAACCACCTGTAATTCCAACAATTTATTTAGTTGCCTACCGTTTATCATTATCTAAAACACCTAAATGTTTCCACGTGTCATCATCTCATGAGAATGTCACAAAAAGCTTATATTCTTCTAGATGTAACATTAGCATAACTATATCCCAAAAAGTCTACCCTTTCGTCTTCTTTATTTTAACCTCAATTATTACATTTTTTATACATATAATTATGGGACTAAATATGAACTGATTAATACTATTTTAGAATCTGGAAAACTAGTAAATAAAGTTATCAACATACACATACTTTGATTATACTATGATATCTTAACATTTCTACGATCTAAAGAATATTTTTCGGTGAGAGTGAACATCAAAATGTGTCATCAAAATTTTCTTAGATTACGTTACAATCAAAGTTTTAATCTAAAAAATTTAACATGTCAATTGTAAAATTAACATTACCAGCTTGTATTCTTGTTATCATATAAAAAATTTATATACCAAAATAATTTATTTTAGACCACAAACGAGATAAATATTAAATTATTATATCAATTTTTTTTTTGAATCGTAAGAGATTCACTCGTTAAAATATCTAGTATTTTTGATTTAGCTGTTCATGATGATTATATATATTATGTAAACTATATATTTTCATTTTTGAAAAGGGTCTATATTATAAGACAAATTCTTATTTTCTCATATGTGTTATCGTATTTATATATTAATTGGAAACTAATTAGCTAAACATAAAATTCAATAAATATTTTCTTAATCAGCTACTTTAACTAATTTGTATATAGTGAAAACAATTCTTACAAAATAAATATATTTTTTTTTTCCATAAATATCAAAAAACTTTATATAATTGGCTAAAGATTATATTGACCAAATCAATCATCATAATAAAATTTCTATTCTTGTACGCGTATTTCTAAAATTTTAACCAAAGATTAGTGTAAACAACTAAACATTATACAAGATTATAAGTTTCATAAAAATACAATAAAATTATTTTTGTAGGCGTACTTTATTTGCCTGCCCAAGCTGACCAATTTACTTATCTCTCTTACAAAACCTGCCCAATCTGCCCGTTGCTGACCACTTTCACTCTCTCTCTCTCTCTCTCTGAAGATGCCCTTTCGTAGCTCTCTAGCTCTCACGCACGCAAAAAACCTCCCTTTTGACTAAAACTTTCTCCAATTTGTTTTCTTTTGTTCTTCCTTCACTTATCTCTCTTCTTTGTCCCCAATTAAGGAGCTCAAATTCACTTCTACTGAACTGGGTTCTAATCGTTTTCTTTGGATCTTTTGCTTATGTTTGATTTTGAGTCAAAAAGGATCAAACTTTATATTAAGAGAGAATTGGGTTTCTTTGATCATTGATTTCAATTTCTGGGTTTTATCAAAGTTTTGTTTTTTTTACATAAATATGTGATCAAAGAGAGTGATCTATTTCCCTTGACTTTTTTTCTGTTTTGAATCCTTTGTGATTTGTTTTGAAATTAGGGTTTATGGTTAGATAATGGGTACAAACTTAGAATCTTTTAAGGTGGTGGAGAAATTAGGTGTTGAGAAAGGTGAAAAAGGGAAGATGTTGAGTAAAAAGAAGAATGTTAAAAAAGATGGAGATGAGAGTGAAAGTGGGTTTTGGTTTAGATTCAAGTTTATCTTTAGTTGTATCTCTTCTAGATCAAAAGTTGATAGTTCCATGAATGCTACTACAGTTATTGGTATAATCTCTTTCTTCCTTCTATAAAGATTATAAAGTTAAAGTTTGTATGTGGTTGCTTTCAGATTGTGGTTGTGGTTTTTTTTTTATCTTGTGCTGACACTTGAGCTCGAAAGACAACTTTAGTTATCTCTTTAATTGGAAGCTCATCATTTATAGGATTGAAATTATATGGTAGAAGTTTATAAATTATAATCAATTTCAAGATAGAGCCTTTGTGACCTTTCACCAGATATTGCTTTGAGACATTTGAGCATATATTACTTTTCTTGTTATTCTTCCTTTGAGACATTGCTAGAGCAATTACTTTACTTTTGCTGAAATAAAAAGGCAGAGAGATTTTATGGTAGGATTCTGTAACAAGCCTTTATTTTCAGAGTGTAGTATTCGACAATCCGCCATGTCTTTCTGTCTATCTGTTTGAATGTGTGACTTGTCCATACTTCAATTCTTTAGTGCTCACTTTCATTTGTTATATATATTTTTCAGCAGAACCTAAGAAAGTTATTGAGAAGCTTGAAGGTCAGCCAGCGCCGATTAAAGATACTGGTTGTGCGGAGAGCGGCTCCTCGACACCTTTAATGAGCGGGGAATTGAAGTATTCTTCTAAGCTACGGATTTTCATGTTTAACGACCTTAAGTTAGCCACTAGGAATTTCAGACCAGAGTCTCTTCTCGGTGAGGGTGGGTTTGGATGTGTTTTTAAAGGATGGATAGAGGAGAATGGAACTGCACCTGTTAAGCCTGGTACTGGTCTAACTGTAGCTGTCAAAACACTGAATCCAGATGGCCTTCAAGGTCACAAGGAGTGGCTGGTAATGACCAATTTCTTTACCTTGTTAGTGGTTATGGTCTCGTGCTTCTGTTTCTTTGGACAATGTTGATGAAGTTGGTATTTATGTGCAGGCTGAGATTAACTTCCTTGGAAACCTTGTTCACCCAAGTCTTGTTAAATTGGTGGGCTATTGCATGGAAGAAGACCAACGGCTGCTTGTTTATGAGTTTATGCCACGAGGGAGTTTGGAGAACCATCTTTTCAGAAGTATGTCTATCAAAAACCTTTCCACATCTATTTCTTTCTGAGGGCTTTGAGGATTCTCGTCTAATTACCATGTTTTTCTTTTTCATTTTGGTTCAGGGACTTTACCTCTCCCTTGGTCTGTCAGAATGAAAATTGCACTTGGTGCAGCTAAAGGTCTCGCCTTTCTTCACGAAGAAGCTGAGAAGCCAGTCATATATCGAGATTTCAAAACATCTAATATATTACTGGATGCGGTATGTCTGAAAGCCACTTAAACCAATAAAAGCCTCAGAGTCTTCCTTTTCTCTCTATTTTTATATAATTTAGAAAAATCTTGTTATTTCAGGAATATAATTCAAAGCTCTCTGATTTTGGGCTTGCGAAGGATGCTCCAGACGAGAAAAAATCCCATGTATCAACCCGAGTCATGGGAACTTATGGTTATGCTGCCCCTGAATATGTAATGACTGGTAAGTCAGCTATCTTGAACTTGTTTTTGGTTATCGCATTATCGATTGAGCTTTTGAACTTACAAGTTTCAATATGAACATCAGGACATCTTACAACGAAGAGCGATGTATACAGCTTTGGAGTAGTATTACTTGAAATATTAACCGGACGAAGATCTGTGGATAAAAGTCGGCCGAACGTGGAACAAAACTTGGTCGAATGGGTGAGACCTCATCTCTTAGACAAGAAAAGGTTATGCCGGCTATTAGATCCTCGGTTAGAGGGTCACTACTCGATCAAGGGTGCTCAGAAAGCCACACAAGTAGCGGCACAATGCCTTAACCGAGACTCTAAAGCTAGACCGAAGATGAGTGAAGTTGTGGAAGCCTTAAAGCCGTTACCAAATCTTAAAGACTTTGCTAGCTCTTCTTCTTCTTTCCAAACAATGCAGCCTGTTGCTAAGAACGGAGTCAGAACACAAGGAGGAGGGTTTGTATCGAGAAATGGACCGCCAATGAGGAGTTTGTCTAGCTTAAACCTGCCTCAAGCATCCCCTTATCGTTATGCCCGTCAATCACCAAAGCCTAAAGGAAAAGAGCCATGACTCAAATAGATATTAATTAGTTCTTCATGTCTGACCGAGGTTTTGCTGATTGCAGCCGGATGTTCAACTTCCTGTTTCATCGATTCTTTCCGATTCAAGAGCAAGTTGCAGCTTTTTATCCTGATCAAAGAAATGGTCTGTGGAGACTGAAGCTTGACAAGTTTGGAATGTTTCGGATCCTGGTTTGTGTTCTTTGAGTTGATGAAACTCGAAAAAATATCTTTGGTCCTCAAAGGTCTAAAGATTTTGATATATGATTTTAATGTGTAGAAAATGTAAAGTTTGAGAGTGTAAAGTTTCTATAAATGATATAAACATGTTGTCTGTAAAAAAACTTATGTAAACCCTGTAATATATGTTCTGATATGCATTGAGTTTCATCTTTAACTTGGTTAAACTATAACGACCATTGTAAATAAAAATCAAAGGTGCATAAAATCCTTTAATGATAACAAAGTAGAAACTTCATATAATTTTAGTGGAATAATTTTAGGTACGTCCACTAAAATTATACAACATTTATTAACTTCAGCATATGTAGCACCATTTAAATTGTTGGTTTCATTAATCAAGTTATTTAATTATTTTTTAATATTTTTTTTATAATTTTAAAATGGTGCTACATTAAGTTCTGGATATTGAACCAATTTATGTATACATAAAAGTTTGGGGTCTTTTCTAAAGTTAATAAAAGTTCGAGGTGTCTTTCTGTAAATAGTTAAAAATAAAAGTTTAAAAAGACGCTAGAAATTAAATATAATTGGAGATGCGGGGTATCGATCCCCGTACCTCTCGCATGCTAAGCGAGCGCTCTACCATCTGAGCTACATCCCCATTTGTTAATCTAAGCACATTTTAAATTTACATAAACAAAAACCATTTCTCTTCTTAACCCTCCCAAGTTTATTTTGGTAAAATTAACCCTCCCAAGTTCCTCCGACTTCTCTCTCTCTCGTCGGAATCTGCAGATTTTGAAATCGCGAAGATGCTGAGAAAACTACTAACGCAAACATCTTCTCGCCGTCTTCTCTCCTCCGGTATTCCTCCTCTCTTCTCCAAATCCTCTATCTCACCGTTTTCCTCATTATCCTCTTCACCGGAGCCACCGTCCTCAGAGAGTACCACCGTTGAACATCCCGGAACAACAATCTCCGTCGATCGTTCTTCTCTCTATACTCCTCCTGGTACGACGTATTTCACCCTCACACTCTGTATGCTTTCGATTTCACAGATTTGGTTTCTGATTTGTTGGAAATTTTAGATCACTCTCATGAATCCACACCTGAGACTGAGCTCGTTAAGCATCTCAAGAGCATTATCAAGGTAACTTCGATTTTTCATTCATAGTAGTGAAAATTCAAAGAATCTGAAGTGGTTTCATGTATCGTAGTTTCGAGGTGGTCCAATCTCAGTAGCTGAGTACATGGAGGAGGTTTTGACTAATCCTAAAGCAGGATTCTATATGAATCGTGATGTTTTTGGAGCTCAAGGTGATTTCATTACTTCTCCAGAAGTTAGCCAAATGTTCGGCGAGGTAATCGTTTTAGCATTTTTTGTTTTTAGGGTTAAGGATATGAGCTTGAGATTGGTGTTGTGATCTTAGATGATTGGTGTATGGACTGTGTGTCTTTGGGAGCAAATGGGAAGGCCAGAGAGGGTTAATCTTGTTGAGCTTGGTCCCGGTCGTGGAACGCTTATGGCCGATCTTCTTCGTGTATGGTTTTATGTTATTGTCTTGTATTCTTGAGATTTCTAGATTATCTCGTTGTTGACTACTGAAAACTTTGACTTGTAGGGTACATCAAAGTTTAGGAATTTTACGGAATCGTTGCATATACATTTGGTGGAATGTAGTCCTGCATTGCAGAAGCTTCAGCACCAGAATCTGAAATGTATAGATGAGAGTAGTTTAGAGAAGAAAGTTATAAGTTCACTAGCTGGGACACCCGTACACTGGCATGCTACTCTTGAAGAGGTACCATCAGGAGGTATGTATCTTTTGTTACATTTCTAAGGAATTTAAGACTTACTAGTTGTGATAATCAATGAGGTTGTGGTCTTTAATATACACAAAGTCAAAGTACAATAATACATGTCTTAAGCATTCAAAACAATGATGCTAAATATCTTTTCTCGTGGTGTCTCCTTTGCTTCTGTGGCAGTACCAACATTAATCATTGCTCATGAGTTTTATGATGCTCTTCCAGTTCATCAATTTCAGGTTAGTTTGGAGATCATGCTTCATAGTTCATCTTTATATGTCGAAACCAACTTGCAATATAGTCTTCTTCTCCTTTTAGTTTAGTAAGTGCATCTTATATAGACTTAATATCTGCAGAAATCTTCTCGTGGCTGGTGTGAGAAAATGGTTGATGTAGGAGAAGATTCAAAGTAAGTATTAGGGAAATCAAAGAAAAATGATAGATATCATTCGTGGGATCTGAAAACTCATGAATATTTGTTGCGTTGTTGGTTTAGGTTCCACTTTGTTCTATCCCCACAGCCTACACCTGCAGCCTTGTATCTCATGAAACGTTGCACATGGGCTACACCTGAGGAAAGGGAGAAACTGGAACATGTTGAGATCAGCCCAAAATCAATGGATTTGACCCAAGAAATGGCGAAGAGAATAGGTTCTGATGGAGGTGGAGCACTTATAATCGATTACGGGATGAATGAAATCATTTCTGACAGTCTTCAGGTTTGTGGCCTCAAAAAGTTCTGATCATGCTTAGTATCTAAACCTATAATTTAGCCATCATTTGTGTACTCTGTTATGGCAAAATGTCTTCAGGCTATTAGGAAACACAAGTTTGTCAACATACTGGATGATCCCGGGTCTGCCGATCTAAGTGCTTATGTCGATTTTCCTTCAATAAAACACTCTGCTGAAGAAGCTTCAGGTTTGTTCCTATACTGTCTCTTAGTCAGTGCGATTTATAGTTCGCTTACTTACTTGACCAAAAGCAAATGTGTGTGTTCTGCAGAAAATGTTTCAGTCCATGGACCTATGACTCAGTCTCAGTTCTTGGGTTCACTTGGAATAAACTTCAGAGTTGATGCGTTGCTTCAGAACTGTAATGACGAGCAAGCTGAGTCCTTAAGGGCGGGATACTGGCAGCTTGTTGGCGATGGTGAAGCACCTTTCTGGGAAGGACCCGATGAACAAACACCGATTGGAATGGGGACGAGGTATCTGGCAATGACTATTGTCAACAAAAACCAAGGCATTCCAGCTCCATTCCAATAAGAAAAGTTGAAACTTTCAGAGAAGGAAACCTTCTTTTTTAACTTGGTTTATCTCTCAGTAAAAGTAATAAAAGCTTTTGAGTTCTGAAGTTATTGCTGCATTTTCCAATCAATTATGTTCTTACACCATCCGTAGCATTCTTGAACTTTATTCCAAGTTATTGCTATTTGCTAAGAGCTAGATGTACTCAAAAACTAAAGTTTTGGGCGTCTGTGGCTTTTGATGCATGAGAAAAAGATCATGTATTCTTGATGGACAAAAGTTTGTATAAATTCTTAATATAAGAAAGAGATCCGAACTATATGAAGAGTTTCGAAATAAATAAATGCGACAAAGAAAATTAGACAATAACTAGTGTTGGTCGGTAAGTGTAGCAAGAGTGCAGCCAGGTGGACAAGGAATGGAGCCAAGTCGTTGTGGAAGCAAGAACTGATGAAAGAGACGAGGTTCATAGTCTCCGAATTCCATGGTTTTTTGCTTCCAGTCTTTGTGGAGTTGGAACTTTTTTGTGCGGAGATTACCTATAACAAGATGGGCATGTGTTTGCAAGAAATTAGTTTTGCGGGTTACGAGGTAAACGACCTCTTTATCGAATGGATGCATTGCCACTGGAACACATCCAACACTGAGATCAAGGCCAGGCCTAAGGGTCCACAAAAGTTCCCAAGATTCCTTGGAAGAGCCACTGATATAGTTCTTGAGCCTCCAAATTTTGAGTTGCTGGTTTGGTCTTCCGGTATCAGTGTTCATATACATGAGTGACCCACATGAGATAGTGAGGGTGGCTTCGTCTCCTTGCCCTGGTTGCTTAAAATAGCCCTTAGCAGAGCGCTGAGGTAAATCGATGACACGACAAAGCTCGGTAGGAGCATAGAAATCATGAGCAAAGATTACTTGAGTTGCACGGCATAGCCAATGAAGATAACCATTCAAATTAAGGGGATTGGATGGGAGGAGCTTGGAGATGGGACGTTGGGTAGAGACGTGGTGGTAAGTCCAATTGCCTAAATCAGACGAATATATCTGAAAGCAAAGCCTATCCCTTTTCATTCCTATCCCTAAGATAGAGACTCCAAACCGAACCACCTTATAACCTAAGACATCACCGTTGTTCATGTGTGTTACAATTGCTGCGCCTTGTAAATCATCCTGAGAAGAATAAGGAGGATGACGAGGGATTTTGATCCATTCTCTCAACACAGGATCAGCAACACAGAACGTCCCAGGTCCGAATTTGGTCAAAATCAACCCTTCCGTGATAGCCAAGATACGCACTCGTCTGTTATTGTTAGCTGCTTTCATCTCGTCCAGAAAACGTGTGACGCAAGAACCTAGTGACTTCGTAAGACCCCATCTCTCGCAGAAGAATTCCAAAGCAGTATTAGAAGATTGGTCGTTGTACAGGATCGACCACGATGAGGACAGTTTCCTTTGGTTTATGGTTTCGTAGAGATCACGGAAATAGGAAGACTCCAAGAGAAATTTCCATCCTCTACACACCAGTTTCAGTCTCGCAATGTCTATAATCGGCAATCTCGCCAGTACCATCACTGTCACCGACTCTGGAAAATCCATAATGCTTATTTTGCTGCTCAAAAACAGGGGAGAAGAAGACTATGGTGTATCGCTAGTGTTTCTCTCTGATAGGGCTTGTCGATGATGAGTATATATTTGTCGAAGTTAAAGAAATATATTTGTCATTGATGACAAATATATTTCTTTAACTTGGAAAAATATTTCTTTTATAGGGAGATATTAACACATAATCCCAATAGTATTTGGAGTTAAAAAAAAAATTTAAAAACTTTTGTTTACATCATGACAGAAATATAAGAATATCTCAAAAAATTTAGATGAGCCCATTTATTTTTAGGATTAGGTTTTATATTAATTTGAAATCTTTGTTTCCTTTTGGTTCAAAAATGATACAACGCATAAGGTTTTATCGAATACAATTTTTAGACTTCACGTATTCGTTTTGGTGTTATCGGTTTTATTTTATTTTTCCTTCCGATTTATGTTAATGTTAGGATAATTATAAATCCTGTTAGTGTTTGGTTTTGGAGGTTTATCTAGAACTTCTTTACTATTTTACTAAATCTCCTATACCATTACGATATAACCTAACAGCAAGAAATTAGATATTGAAGTATTTACCAAATCGTTTTGAATGATAATGTTTGTGAAAATGTGAAGTGCATGCATTAATGCATATGTACAAAATTATATACCAAATTATATTTATAGATTTTTTGATTTTCTTATGAATCTATTATTAATTTATTATTTAAAATATAGTGCAATTCATATATGAAAAAAAATGTGAATTGCCCTTTTATTATTTACCAAACACGGCAAAACGCCAAAATAGAGAATGCAACAAAAATAAATATTAACTAGTAAATAAAGGAAAGTTACTCAAAAAAAAAAGTATAATTAATTTTCATTAAGGCACAATTCAATAGCCTTTTAAAAAGAAGAGTTGTCATTGACAAACCCTAGCAGAAGAAATAGCGACACACTTTTAGTTTTATCCTTTATTCGACACTACAAGAAAACATAGCAATTTCCGACGAACATTTCCGACGAAATATTTAGTCGGAATTATTCCGACGGATTTCTGGGGAATTTCCGACAAACTTCCAAGAAAATAATATTTCGTCGGAAATTCGTTGGAAACATAAAAACTTTTCCGACAATTAAAAATTCGTCGGAATTTCGTCGGAAATATTTGTCGGAAACCATGGAAAATTCCGACAATCCAATGTCATCGGAAACTGCTCGGAAACTTGTCGGAAAATTTGTCGGAAACAACGAGGTAAACACGTGATTATTCACTGCACATGTTCCGACGTAATCCCGACAACTTGATCGAAAAAATTAGTCGGAAAAGTTGTCGGAAAAGTTGTCGGAAAATCTAAAGTGGTTACCTTTAATATTTCCGACGAATTTCCGACAAAATGTTAGTCGGAAAAGTTTTATATATATACTAGACAACGAAAGAATCATAGACACAAGAAAAAAATTGAAAAAAAAAAAACAGAAACACAAGAAAATCTTGGAAAAAAAAATGTCTTCTCATAATATTTATAAAATTAGAGAGTGGATGTATAATCGATTAGATGATGAGACCGGAGCTATGAGGCAGGAGTACAAGGAAGGTTTAATGGAATTCATGCAGTTTGCATCTAATCAAGAAATGACGCGTATCGAAGGTGTTATGGCATGTCCTTGTGTCAAATGTTGTAATGATCATTTTCTTGCAAAAGACATTGTTTGGAATCATTTATATTGGGGAGGTTTTACACCAGGATATTATATATGGTTTTCTCACGGGGAGGATTTTAGATCGGGTCCTAGTAGTAGTCGTGAAAGAAGAGATGAAAACGTTATAATTAGCGATGAGCATATTCACCAGGAAGAAGATAATGTAATTGGTAGTGGTGAATTTCATGATAACGTAGAAAATACTAATGTTGCGGAGGAACCCAACTTAGAAACACAGGGATTTTTCGATATGTTAGATGCTGCAAATCATCCGATATATGCAGGATGCAGAGAGGGTCATTCTCCTTTATCCGCCGCAACACGTATGATGAACATCAAAACAGACTACAATTTAAGTGAAGATTGCGTTGATGCGTGGGTTGATTTTATCCACGATTATCTACCGGAAGATAATTTATCGCCAGTTTCATACAACGCAATCCAAAAATTGGTATCTGGGCTAGGTTTACCATTCCAAATGATTGACGTGTGTAGAGAAAATTGTATGATTTTTTGGGGAGATAATGTAAATATGTCTCAATGTCGTTTCTGTGGTGCTGAAAGGTTTCAGGTTACTAGTGGGCGAAACAAAATACCATATAAGCGTATGTGGTATTTGCCCTTGGCTGATAGGTTGAAGAGGTTGTATCAGTCAGATCGGACAGCGGAGGGTATGCGATGGCACGCTGAACATGAATTCACCGGGGAGATTTCACATCCATCGGATGCATCGGCCTGGAAACATTTTTGTTCTACATATCCAGTCTTTGCTAATGAACCAAGGAATGTCTATCTTGGTTTATGCACGGATGGATTCAATCCATTTGGAAAGTCAGGTAGAAAATATTCTTTGTGGCCAGTAATAGTCACCCCTTACAATCTCCCACCTTCCCTTTGCATGAAAAGAGAATTTCTTTTCTTAACCATTTTGATTCCTGGTCCAAACCACCCTCGTCGTTCACTTGATGTGTTCCTACAGCCGCTTATAGAAGAGTTAAAAATGTTATGGTACCAAGGGGTTTGGGTATATGATGTCTCCACAAAGACAAATTTTAACATGCGTGCTGTATTGATGTGGACTATTAGTGACTTTCCCGCATATGGCATGTTATCGGGTTGGACAACTCATGGAAGACTGTCGTGTCCATATTGTCAAGATAATACAGATGCCTTCCAACTAAGACATGGCCGGAAATCAAGTTGGTTTGATTGTCATCGTCGTTTTCTAAGACGAAATCATCCATATCGTCGTAGTAAGACGTTGTTCCGCAAGAACAAGAGTATCCGTGATCCACCGCCACCTGAGTATGATGGTGATTATATATTGAATCAATTTCGTGATTTTGATGTTGACTGTACATCATCGGTAGGCGGTAATGGCCATGTCCGAATTGATGGATATGGAGAACATCATAATTGGCATAAAAAAAGTATCTTCTGGGAGTTACCGTACTGGACAAATCATCTACTCCGCCACTGTCTTGACGTTATGCATATTGAGAAGAATTTCTTTGACAATATAATTAACACCATTTTAAATGTCGCGGGTAAGACTAAAGATAATATCAAATCCAGAATGGATTTACCCGATATATGTGCGCGCGAGGATCTCCATTTGCTTGCAGACGGAGTAGGTCCTATTCCTATATGGAGATTAGATGCAAGCAAGAAGACCAAGTTTTTTCAGTGGATAATTGATGATGTTAAATTTCCTGATGGCTATGCATCAAATCTATCATATTGTGTTGATGATCACAGTGGTAGATTAGCTGGGATGAAAAGTCATGACTGTCACGTCTTCATGCAGCGTTTACTACCATTTGCGTTTACACAACTCCTACCAAATGTTGTCCATGAAGCAATTGCAGGTACAAACAACTTATCTTTTAATTATTTTAATATGTTATTATTCATGTATATATTCTTTTTTTGTTTACAGTTATTAATTAAATTGCAGGGATAGGTGCATTTTTTAGAGATTTGTGTTCAAGATCTCTAACAGTCGAAGGACTACATACACTTGAAGATAATATCCCGATTATCATTTGCAATTTGGAGAAATTATTTCCCCCATCATTCTTTGATGTCATGGAGCACTTGCCTATCCATCTACCTCGTGAAGCAGCACTAGGCGGTCCAGTTCAGTACCGGTGGATGTATCCTTTTGAGCGTTTTATGTTCCATTTGAAGAAAAAAGTTAAAAATCTTAGCAAAGTTGAGGGATCAATAGTAGCTCAAAGCATAAACGAAGAGACTTCTCATTTTTCGGCCTACTATTTTGCTCCAAATGTCCAAACAAAAGCAAGAAAACCAGGTAGGTACGATGATGGGGGTGTGCGGCCTTTTTACCATACATCTGTCCCAGATATCTTTTCTCAAATCGGGAGACTGAGTGGGAAGAAAAAAGAAGTATGGTTTACAGATCAAGAATTTAATCACATTCATACTTACATCCTCCAGAATTGTGACGATGTCATACCATTCGAGAAGTAAGAAACAAAATTCATACCTTAATAATACGCATATATTATTTGCAAAATAATTACTTATACAAAAAAACAAATGTCTGTAGGATCTTTGATGATCAAGTGTCTGGAGCGTATCCAAACATGACAGAGGCTCGAAAAGAGGAAATGAAGCAGACACAATATGCTAATTGGTTAAAATATTATGTAAGTTTTCACCGTTGATTTTACATATATTATGAACATGGTTACTATTTATTAAAATCGTACATTTGCTTGTATGTTTTGCAGATCAAATCAGCCGCAAGTAGGCAGGAACACTATCCAACATGGTTTGAAGAGTTGGTTGGAGGTCCTCTATCAAGGGCAATGGCATACCCGATGTATTGCACTCGAGGCTACGTTTTCATAAAACGTCCAGGGATTACTAACAGAAAAACAGTGAATTATGGGGTCGTTGTTCGTACAGATTCGATAGACTACTATGGTGAAATTACTGATATATTAGAGGTTGAATATCCGGGAGTCATAAATTTGAAATGTATACTCTTCAAGTGTGACTGGTATGATCCTAGAGTTGGAAGAGGTGTTAGACTTACAAAGTATGGTGTCACAGAGATCAACTCGACTAAGCAGTTAAGAAAGTACGATCCGTTTATACTTGCATCTCAGGCAGCACAGGTTTGCTACATACCATATCCACAAGTAGGTGTTCGACAATATCCATGGATTACGGCTCATCAAATAAATCCAAGAAGCAGAGTTGATGGGGTGAAAGAAAAGGAACCGCTACAACAAATTGCAGTAAACGAAATTACGCAAGTAGATCAATCTGTCGGTGACATTCCCCTCGTTGATATTGAGAACATAGAACTCGAACAGATATGGGAAAATGCGGAAGACGAAGAGGATGGAGAAGAGTTTGAAGATCAAAATGATTCTGCTAGTTCAGATTATTCTTCCGATTCTGAGTAAATCAAATATATCGTATTTAGTTTTATATATATATTTTATAAAATCTGTTTAAATGCTTTTAAATTTATCATATTATATGCATTATAATTTATTTGTTAAAAAAATCTGTTTCTATTTTATAATAATTAAACCATTCTAATATTTTATTTTATTCATACTTTCATCGGAACTGTCGTATGAAACGTTTGAGATTAAATTTGTACCGCTTAAATATATCTTGATACAAAACAGGGTATATTTAATTAAAGAAATACTTGACACAAAATAATTAAAATTATTTAAATTAATATACCCTGGTTCCGACGAATTTTCCGACGACATTATTTTCTCCATCGGAAAATCGTCGGAATTAGGCTATATTGAATTAATTTATTTTTTTACTTTTCTTTCAGAAATACTGAAGCGGGAACATTTACGAGACTCGGGAGATTTAATGTCCAATTTCCGACAAATATGGTCGTCGGAAATTCCGTCGGAGATTGGGTCTTAAATTTATTGCCGTTTACTTTTCCCGGGCGTTAGAGAAGTTAATGTAACCAATTTCCGACGAATTTTCCGACGAAATTTAAAAATTTGTCGGAACATTTGTCGGAAAATGTTCCCGCAAGATTTAATTTCCGACGAATTTTTCGACGAAATTTAAAAAATTCGTCGGAAAATTCGTCGGAAATTGGTTACATTAATTTCTCTGACGCTCGAGATAAGTAAACGGCAATAGCAATTTCCGACGAAATTTAAAAAATTCGTCGGAAAATTCGTCGGAAATTGGTTACATTAATTTCTCGCGGATCTCGTAAATGTAGAGGGAAAGTTAATTGGTTTGAAATTCCCGCTGCATTTTTTTCCGACGAATTTCCGACAAATATGGTCGTCGGAAATTTTTATATATATACGACTCACAGATTTCTCACACTTCTCACTTCAAACGTGATTAAGTTCTCACACTTCTCACATCTTACATCTCACATCTTCTCACACTTCTCACATCGTAAGGTAAGATGTTAAGTTTTATTTTCTTCATAATTTTGTTTATAAAATTCAAAAGACTAATTATAAATTTTTTATTTGATTAAGGAGATGGATAATGGATCGTGGAGTGGATATATGGCGTATTGTAATGAACGTGGGTTTGCTCCGGATTTGAATCTTGGTTCCGAAACCCAACCACCGGATGATTTTCCCATGGAGGACACGGAAGTTCCGGAGACGGAACCATTGGCGATGCCTACACGGAATGATGATGCAAATCCACTCGATTCTATGACGCTAGACCAATTACTCCGTGCTCCGGGTCGAGATAAATTGAAAAAGATCGACCCAAGCCGTATGAACGGAACAACTTGGTAAGAAATTGTATTATTTAATTTATAGTTTTACGTAGATAATCTCAATTAAATAATTTGGTAATTATAGGTATAGATTCGATAAAGGATTCACAAAGATTATCAAGAAAATCATGGAGAGCGATTTCCCCGAGCTCGCTCCGAATATTACGTCGGTCTCCGGAGACACAAAGAAACGTTGGTTTAAGGCATTTGCGGTTAGTTTATTTAAATAAAATTTATGCTTTATTTACTTTGTTTATATTTTTAGCTAAAAAAATTAAATTTTAAAATTTGACAACACTAAAAATATATATATTTTAAATTTTTTAACATTGTAGCAAAAATTTAATTGGGATTATGGTCTTACGGGCGAAGTACAAGAAAAATTTGAGGAGATATGTGGGGTACGTTTATTGGATTATGTTTATGGATGGAAAAAGAAATGGCTTAACGGGAAAGAAAAGCCAAAATGGATGCGAGAAAACGTTTGGCAAGGGCTTATTGCATATTGGTTACAAGAGCAAAATAAGTCCCGTAGTGAAACTAATTCTCAAAATCGCAAGAGTGAACGCGGAGGCTATGGCATGGCTAAACATACTTGTGGATCAATGCCATATGTCCGGAAAAAGGAAAAAATGGTAAATAAAAATTTAAATTTTTTACATTTCAATTTGCATTATAATAAATTTTATTGTAAATTTTTAACTAATAAATATTTTAAATGCAAGCGTAATCCCGAAACCGGTGAGTATCCCGATATGGTGACATTCATGGAGGAGACTCATAAACGGAAATCGGACGGGACATTTGTTGATAAAAAAGCTGAGGCAATAGCTCGTCGATGTCGGGAGATGGAGAAAGAGAAACTCACACAAATGAGTCAACATTCGGACACGCCTGATGATTATCAACTCACCCAAGCAGAAAAAACCGATATTTTCCGATCGGTAAGTAATAGTAATTAAAATATTATAATTTAGATAATATGTTTTATTTCCTAACAACATTTTCATTATAATAGCAAGTTGAAGTTAAAAAAGGACGTAGATTTGGATTCGGTTCCATTCCGTTTGACGAAGACATGGGCGGAAGTTCGTCATATTCACATGCACACGTGAATTGTCAAGAAAACGCAGCCGAAATCATCGAGTTGAAGACTCAATTAAAAGATTGTAAGTTTTGGATGGATATGATGGCCCGTCTTCATCCCGACATCGTTCTGCCTTCTCGCCAAGATCAACCCGGAAATCAAAATGAAACAAATAACGTTGACACTCTATTTGATAATATATAATATTCGCGTTTGTAATAATTTTTAGTTGTTTAAGAACTTATTAATGTTTAATTATGTTTTTTATATTATGTGGTGAATTTTATTTTTTTTAATTATGTTTTTATATAATATTTGTGTTTGTTTTATTGAATTATTACAATTAAATTAAATTAATATTATTTAATTTAATTAATTATATTAATTAACAATAAAATATAAATATATATTTTTTAATAAAATATAATATTTCGTCGGAAATTCATCGGAAAATAATAAAAAATACGATTTGTCGGAAATTCGTCGGAACGTTCCGACGAACTTCCGACGATTTGTGGTCGGAAAATCGTCGGAATCGTACTCGATCTTGCGGCGTCGTTTGTAGGAATCTCCTCGGAATGGCGTCGGAATATGCCGTCGGGATATCGTCGGCAATTTTCCGTCGCTATTCCGACGGACATTTCCGACACCTTTCCGACGGTCTTTCGACGAATATTTCCGACGATTTTCCAACAAATATTTCCGACGAATTTTCCGACAACTCATCTCGACAGAAATTTCCGACGAATTTCCGACGAATATTGTTTTCCGACCAGAGAATTCCGACAAACTTGGTGTAGTCGGAATTTGCTATGTTTTCTTGTAGTGCGAGTTCGAGAGCAGCAAAATCAGCACTATGTATCTTCCAGAGCCGGTGACGGTGATGGTTTTTGAAAGACTAAGGATCAGAGACATCGCGAAACTGAGATCTGTGTGCAGAGAATGGAAGTCTTCCTATTTCCGTGATCTCTACAGAACCATAAATCACAGAAACTTGTCCTCTCCGTGGTCAATCTTGTACAGAGACCAATATTCTAATACTCCTTTGGAATTCTTCTACGAGAAATGGGGTTTAAAGCAGTCACTAGGTTCTTGCGTCTCACGTTTTCTGCACGAGGTGAAAGCAGCTAACAATAACAAACGAATGGGTGCCTTGGCCATCACGGACGGATTGATTTTGCTAGGTGTTTCGACCAATTTTGGACCTAATATGTTCTGTGTTGTTAATCCCGTGTTGCGACAATGGATAAAAATCCCTCAACCTCCTCCTTGTTCATCTGTCGACGGTTTCCTAGGCGCAGGCCTTGTAACAGACATGAACAACGGTGATCTCTTGGGTTATAAGGTAGTTCGGTATGGACTCTCAGGGATTGAGAGCGAATGGTGTAGCCTTTGCTTTCAGATCTATTCGTCCGATTAGGGCTATTGGACTTACCACTACGTCTCTACTGAGCGTCCCATCTACAGGCGCCTCCCATCAAATCCCATTAGTTCTAATGGTTATCTTCATTGGCTATGCCGTGCAACTCAAGTCATCTTTGCTTATGATTTCTATGCTCCTACCGAATTTTGTCGTGTCATCGATCGATTTACCTCAGGGCTCGGCTAAGACCCCAGGGAAAGGTGAGGAAGAGACTCTCACCATCTCATGTGGGTCGCTCATGTATATGAATATTGATACTGGAAGACCAAACCAGCAGCTCAAGATTTGGAGGCTCAAGAACTATACAATGGCGGACCCAAAGAGGCTTGAAGGGGGTCAGTTGACCCACCTAAAATTCTAAATTTGCATTATAGTCCTTTAATATTTATGATATTATTTATATGTTTTCTGTTTTGACCCCCTTAAAATTACAAATTTGTGTTTAAACCTTTTAAGTTTTCTAATATTTTTCTACTACTTTGTGTTTGGCACTATTTCTCACATATTTTTTAGTTTTTTTGTTTGCTTCACCCATAAATATTGAACTATTTGTGATTTATTTTTTTAAAAAATGTTGTTTGTTTTTAGTTTTTCTTAAAAAAAAAATTTATTAATTATTGTCATACATTTTGACCCCGGTAAAAAAACTTTTTGGGTCCGCCACTGGAACTATATGAGTGACTCTTCTAAAGAATCTTGGGAATTGTTGTGGAATCTCATGCCTGGTCTTGATCTCGGCCTCGCAACTGTTCCAGTCGCAATGCATCCTTTTGATAAAGAGATTGTTTACCTCGTCACCTGCCAAACTAGATTTTCCCGGAAACATGCCTATCTTGTTTCAGGTAACCTTGGCACAAAAAAGTTCCAACTCCACAAAGGTTGGAAGCAAAGACACAGGGAATTCGGAGACTATCAATCTCATCTGTTTCATCAGTTCGTGCTTCCACAAAGACTCGGCTCTTTTCCTTGTCCACCTGGCTGCACTCTTGTCACACTTCCCGACCCACACTAGTTCTGTTCAATTTTCACTTGCATTCTTATTGCATTTTTTTTTTAATTTCTAAACTCATATAATTTCATAGTTTCATTTGATCTTGTTCTTAAATTAAAGATTTTTGAGTTTGTATCAAAGCTAAAACCACAATAATTTGGGAAAATCACATTTTAAACCTTTAAAGTGACACTGTGTAGCACTTTAAACCTCGATATAATTTCACTAGCACTATAAACCTTCAAATTAATTATACTAACACATTAAACCATCAAATTAATTTTTTTTGTTTATGCAGCCCTAAAAGATAACGGAACAGTAACTCCGTTAACAGAAAAGTTAACCTCCGTCACCCACGTTTTTTTTCACATCTCCGTCATCCCTAAGTAAAACGTGTTTTAATTAAATTTTTTTTTTTTTCTTTTTACCCTAAAAAACAAAACCCCCAAATTGAGTTAGGGTTCTAAATCAAAACCCAGAATAGAAGAAGAAGAGTGAGAGAGTGATTTCGAGTGAAATTGAAGAAGTTTATGGACGCTTTGCAATCGAAATGGGGTATGTGTCGATTCTTCTCCTCCAGTTCAAATAATTACTCAAAACATTTGTTTTCGTCAATAATTTTGGGTCTAACTAATCAACCCGTAAGTTTTATGTAAGAGTATATATTGTTTGATTCTCGTTGGTTTTGTGGTATCGATCTATTAAAATCATATATCAGGTGATTGAATTTAGATTCATATAATAAAAATCAAATCGGAGAGGAGAGGATTTTGTACTCTTATGAGCCCATGTGCAATGTTTTGTTTGTATATCAGTTATGCATCGTTTTCAATGAGTAAACTTTGTGTTTTTGTTTTTTTTGTCTCAAATAAATTGTTAGATAAATACATGTACTTCAATCGTAGCTTCAAGGTTCTGTTTCTTATGTCATCTATGAAATAGACCTTTTTATATTTGTGAAGTAAAGATAATGGGAAAAATCAAATCTGTTTGGAGAAATCTGATTGGTTGATGTTTGATTTCATATTAGCTTTGTTTGTTTTTAGTTCGTATGATTGCTACTAGAAAAGGTGGTTTAAACAGTAGTGTTAACAGTCGTAAGCTTTGCTGATATATATCTTTATGTAGTTTTGAGAGATGGAAAAATTTCATCTTTTGTTTTGAATTGAATTGTTACTATGTCTCTTTCTCAAGAATTTACTTTTGTTAGTAAAATTTTAGTTAGTTTGAGTTTCTAATTTTAATATATTTTGTACAGTGACGGCGAAACCACAATAAAACTCACAATCCACTTTGGTGGAATTGTGAACAGAGAAGGAGAAGATTACATCTACAAAGAAGAATTGGGTGTTAAGATAGTTCATTGGAGATTGTCTGAAATATCATGGAAAAAATTTGACGATTTCTGTGTTACTCAGGCAAAGAATGGAGAACCGATTAGGCTCATTTGGTACAAAGAGACAGCTAAGGATATGAAATTCTTAATGTATTTATTTGATTCCACAAGTGATGTAGATATGGTTGACCTCCTTTTTCTAGGGGAAACTGTAGGTGTGCTTGACATTTTTCTCAAGCAAAGGGTAGAAGATAAATCGGGTAATGGTTATAGTAGTGCTGATGAAGAAGTTGTTAGGCCAAAAGAAGATGAGGAAGGCTCAGAATCTGAGGATGAAATACCTGACAATGTGGCCGCTGAAGGATACGAAGCTGAATTAGATGATATCAGGGACAATGAGAATATGTCTGCTGAAGAAGATAATGTCGCTGTGAGGAATGAAAATGTGGCTGGTGGAAGAGTAGAAACTTTGGTAGCTTTGAATGGAATAGTTGATGATGGAGATGATGTCGTTTTAGATGCTGGAGATGGTGGTGATGATGAAAGGTTTTAAGTCATTATTTGAGGAAGGTTCGAGAGCAATTGTAGATAAGGACGCATACAGAAATCTTGAGGAACAAGAAGAAGAACAAAGAGAAGCTGAAGACAGTGAGCAAGAGTGTATAGTAGAGGAAGAAGCAGAATATCCGGATACACCACTAGAGTCAGATGAAGAATGGGAACAATGGGATAATGAGAGAAGAGGAAAAAGGAGTAAGAAGGGTACTCATGGGAAAGCTAAGTATCACGGTAGTCTGGATAAAGAGCCATACATTTGGTTATTCCAAAAGTTTAACAGTGGATTAGAATTTAAAGACCAGTTGTTGCGTTACTCATTAAAAACGCAATATGACGTGAAGATGGCAAAGTCTGAAGCAAACAGGATTGCTGTAGTTTGTTGTGGTAAAAATTGCAAGTTTAAGGTGTTTTGTTCTTATGAAAAACCTATTAACAAGTGGATGGTGAAGGTCTGTCACATGTATCACAACCATGGAAAATCAAGTAGAGTTTCAATGCTGAAGCAAAGTGTGATTGCAGGCTTGTTTAGAGAAGAGATAAGAAGAAATATAAGCTTACAAGCAGCACAGATCAAAGATGCAATAAAAGCAAGGTATAACATTGTTGTTCCTCTCTCAAAGTGCTACAGGGGTAGACGCATTGCTCTGAACACCATTCTTGAAGCTCAAACAACTCAGTTTGGTAAGTTGTGGGATTATGAGAATGAACTGCGCAGAAGACATCCTCGTATGACAACTGATTTATGCACTGTTAATGTCAATGATAGAGAGATGTTCGATTGCTTCTACATCTGCTTTGAAGAATTCCGCAATACTTGGAAGACTTGTTGTAGACCAGTTATTGGTTTAGATGGATGTTTTTTGAAATGGGAGTTAAATGGTGATCTGCTTGCTGCTGTTGGTAGAGATGCGGATAATAGGATGTATCCAATTGCATGGGCAGTTGTCAGAGGTGAAAATAAAGACACTTGGGGTCGGTTTGTTAAGAACCTGAAAAGAGACCTTGGCTTGGAGAATGGGGACATTTTGACAATCATTTCTGACAAGCAAAAGGTATATCATTCTAGCATTTGACTTTACTACATTATTATTCGTTGCTCAATCAATGTCGAACTTGGCAGGGTTTA